GCAGGGCTAACCGGACCTTGTCGTGCATCCACAGGTGCAGCTCAAGTAGAGCCAGGGAGGTGATCCTCCCCCTCTATGCAACACTGGTCAGGCCACAGCTGGAGTACTGTGTCCAGTTCTGTGTGCCCCACTTCAGGAGGCACGTGGACAACATTGAGAGGGTCCAGAGGAGAGCCAGCTGCGTGATCCGGAGACAACAGGGCAGACCCTACAATGAGAGACTGCGGGACCTGAACCTGTTCAGCCTTCACAAGAGAAGGCTGAGGGGGGACCTGGTGACCATCTATAAACTCACTAGGGGGGACCAGAAGGGTTTGGGAGAGACCTTGTTCCCCCTAGCGCCCCCTGGCATAACAAGGAATAATGGCCATAAGTTGTTGGAGAGTAGGTTTAGATTAGAGATCCGTAAGACCTACTTCACAGTTAGGGCAGCTAGGATCTGGAACCAACTTCCAAGGGAGTTTTAACAAGAGGCTTGATGCCCACCTGGCTGGAGTCATTTGAGCCTAGTTTTTCTCCTGCCCAGGCAGGGTGTCGGACTTGAAGATCTACAAGGTCCCTTCTGACCCTGCTTCTATGATTCTATGAACATTTTTCACACAGAAGGCAATGCCTGGTCTGTCCAGGGGCCAGATCCTGATGTAGCTCCCAGAGTGCACACAAGGAAGCAGAGTCCTGATCAAACCACATGGGGAGAAGAGGACGTGGCCCAGCCCCAACCAGCCCAGTGGGGGACGGCAGGGGAGCATGGCCCAGCCCCAAGCTTCCTGGGGAAGGGGGCATGGCCAGGCCCCAACTTGATCCCATGGGGCATGGCTTGGCCCCAACCCAACCACACAGAGGGAAGGGGCATGGCCTGGCCCCAAACCAGTCACACGTGAGAGGAGGGATGTGGCCTAGCTCTGAACTGGCCGCGAGCGAGGCTTGGGAATCTGGCAGTCAGGGGAGAGTGGCAGTATTGCCAGTGTTCCCCCACTGTTAAATATCCCAACCCGTGGCGAGCCCTGCAGGCCAGATGTCACAGCTCCATGAGCTAAAACTGCAGAATTATACAACTCAAAGTGCAAAGGGATTTCTTAGATGTGGTACTTTTACGATTTAAACTTTGTACATTAATATCTGGTAGTTAATAATCACAAGTCATTCCTACCCTTATCCTCAGACTCCCTCCACTATAGGCTCATTCTCATTGCCCTGGTCTCCTCTTCTTTCTCTTTCCATCCTTTTCTGATTTTACCTTGTCTCTCTACTCTTACATTTCCATTTATTCATTCCTACTGCCATTTCCTCAGACCCTGCCCTGCAATGTATAAAAAAAACAGCAGAAAAAGAAAAAGGAAACAAGTTATGTGCCTTTGGTATTCCTAGTAATTTTTTTGCATGCTGTACCATTCTATCAACCTTTTTTTTAACCTCTTTAAACTGTCTTCCTGTTTGGTTATATAGTACTTACCTCAATAAGGCCCAAATTCTGAGAGGCATTTTTGGGCACTCCTCCTATCTGAAAATAATATAACAACTTGGGAAATATTTGGAGAACTAGAAGGCTATGATATATTTAATTTCTGTAACCTGGATATTAACTAACCCTAGATGACATCAGCTATAGCTTTGTTAAGCCACTGTGAGTTGATGTGTTACAATCAGTAGCGTGACATGGAGTGGCTGAACAGAGCCTAGGCCCCAAGAGATGCCTAAAGGGAGGGACACCAGAAGGATGGGAGGCCCTCAATCCTGCCTGCTTCGCTCTGCCTGCGCTTTCTGGCTGCAGGAAGCAGCCAACACAAGCAATGAGTACAAGGCATTCTGGGAATCAGTTTTGTAGAGTGACAGTGGAGTTCACTACTGGGGAGGAGGAGAATTGACCCCATTTTTGTGGCCAAAATCTGCATTTTGTTTGGCCTCCGGACATTGTCTTCAGCAGCAAAAAAGTGGGGTGCAAGTTCCCCCCCTTCCTCCCCAGCAGCAGCAAACCTCATTGATACTAGAGAACTAAAATTCCCACCATACCTTACTTGTTCCTGCTCCCTGGAAGTACAGAGGAATGAGGAGTGTGGGGCAGGGGAGGGTGAAAGAGAATTGCCCCGGGTACATTTTTTACCTCAGATTATAATATTTTTAGTTAACCTGTTTACATATAAAACACTGTAAAACACAGCATGGAATTGCTAGAACTATACATAAATAGTTAAATGAATTGCATTAGAAACATTTAAATCAACAAATTCAAAAAATGAACAATTAATTGCTGTTCAAAACATAAGAAACTAAACTATAGCAGCAATTTTAATTATGCAGGGGAAATATAATCTGCCCTTTTTTTGCATATCCTACGTTTAAAATGTATTTATATTTTGTAAAGAACAATAAAAGAAGGAAGAAGGCCTGGAGAAGAAGTTTGTTTTTATGCATAACAATTTTTCCAGAAGAATTAGTAACACAAACAAGAAAATACTGTATCTCAGATTATTTTTAATAAAGGAAGGAGTTTCCTTTTTTTCACATATTTAAAAGGGATTTAGCACTTGAGAAAGTTGCCAGATCAACATCTCATGAGGATTAACTACTACACTATGGGTGTCTGATATAAAATGTGCTTTTCAAATTTTAGTAAAAACTTGACTATTGTATGAACTCTCATTAATATTTTACTAAAACCTAAAAACATTAACATAAACCATCAAAACATAGTTTTCTTTGTGTGAATTGTTATACATTTGCATATATGCTGTATCAAATGGTTTTGTTTTTACCAAGACCCCTTCTTCCTCCTGGAATCATATGCCATGTCTGCAGTTGAACATATGACTCTCAGATCAGCCTCCTCAGCCATCTCCAGATTCACCCCTATTTACTAAAAGACTCTTCTTCTCATATTGACAGACTGCTGTAACAGTCAAACATTTATTTCACCCATTTCAGACACTCAAATGTTTTTATGTGAAACAAGATTAAGAGATAATGCAACAACACAAAATTCACACAACCCAGCAGTTACGTTTAGTATACTGAACTCTGCAGAAATAAATTAACAATTACCTTAATACTGTTGGGTAGAGTTCTGAAGTATAAATATACACTATGTTGAAGGCAGCACTGACTGTCATTTTTCCACACAACGCTAACAAAGTTGGACTGAAGAATAAACCTTTGGAAGAGAAAAAAAATAAAGTGCAAGTGAAAAGAAATATTATATTTATGGCATTAAATTTAAAGTATGGGTATTTTCTAGTTCATGAGATTGAAACACAGGTGTAGCATTGACCTTATACTATAGCACTAACTACCCCAAGAACCTACAGGAGCAAGAAATAAACATTCTTCACAAAACTGCTCAAAATTTGTATCAAGTCGGATTTTGTCTTTAACTGAAATAACTGTGTCATTAACATGTAAAATGAAACAGTGAACCTTCAATTTCTTTTGTAAGTTTAATATATTTATGCAGAAATTCTAGGAATGTGAAAACAGTTACAGTTTGTGTCATGCTCTAGGTTAATGCAACAAGCATCCAATTGCTAGATGCAAATACGTGCAGAGACCTGGTCTTCCTAAGAGTTCTGCTTAGTGTCAGTAGAGGATTTGGGCATTGGTTTTCTTTTTATGATCAAGTAATCAAGAAGCATGTACTAGTAACAACAAAGATTCATCAGTCCATCTGAAAACTTTACTTACCATTTCTCTCAACACTGTATTAAATCTCTATGTGGACACTTTTAATGTACACTAAGACCATTTTTGGGCAAGGGAGCTTATTCCACTTTGAAAGTGAAGTGTGGGCTAAGCTACCTTTTTCTTACTGAGTACCTGGGATCTAGGTTCTCCATTTGCCAAGGAAAAACATGGATTTTCTTCTTTAAAGGAGAAAAACATGGGAAACCACAGGTTTCCCTTTGCAGGTTGGCAGAGCTTCAGCCTGCAAGGGGATGTTTGGGGCTGAGGGAAGCAGGGCACAGGGAGTGCCATCTGCATGTGTGGACACGCACGCATGCAAGTGGCCAGCGATACAGGCAGGCAGCAGTGGAAAGCAGCTCCACCAGCTGTCTTCAGGTAAGTCTATGCAGTGGGGCATAGGTGACACGGTAGGGCAGGGGATGGCAGACTGAGGCAGCCACAGTGAGGAAGAGAGTAGGAGTGGGTTGGCAGCTGGGGCTGGGGGCGCTACCCAGACAGGATGGTGCCCAGGGCTGGGGTTGGAATGTGCAGCCTTGGGGTCCAGCTGGGGGTGCAGGATGGCAGCTGGTCCAGGGGGCTGGTGTACACTGGCTCCCCACTGCTGTGTGCATACCCAGGGAGAGGAGCAGGGGGGTGGGGCGGGGGGCATGTGCCTCCCAGATTAGTGCTTGGGATGGGGAAGGATATAAGCTGCCCATCACATGGCTTGGGCTTTCCACCCTACTTCCCTCCCCCTGGGGGCCTCCATGGCCCAGAGGGTGGTACCTGGCACAGAAGGGTGTTGGGAGCCCTGCGCCAGCCATGTCACCAAAGTGAGGCACCCCCTGCCCACCCAGCAGCAGCAGGGTGGCACACCTCTACACATTTCCAACCCCACTGCTTCCGGGAGGGCAAGGGGCACCTCACCATGCCCACCTCCCTATCATGCTCCATCCTCCTGTGCCAGATCCCACCCACTGGGCCACAGAGGCCCCCAGGGCAGGGTAGCAGAGCAGGGAGACCCAAACCCTGCAATGGGCAGCCCATATGCTCCCCCGTGCCCACAAACTCTGCTCAGCTCTGGCCACAGCAGCCGCCACCTCCTGTATGTGGCAGCTAGGGCTTGAGCCCTGCTGGAGCGGCAGGGTGCTGCGGGCCCTGCCCCAGGTTCCATAGTTCTGGTAGCTGGGGTTCCCCTCTGGCAGGGCTGGGAGGTGGCAGAGGGCTACAGATCGGGAGTGAGGGGCACTGGCAGTGCTGGAGAGGCTGTGGGTTGGGAGTTAGAGGCAACGGCAGGCGCAAGACACCAGCATATCAGGGCTGCTCAGCACCACAAAGGAGTGAAGTGGACAGCCACAGTTGGACACGCAACCTTGTGACCAATGGGGCAGAGGAAGTGCTGATTTTCTATGATAAAAACAAAACACAAAAAGCAAACACCAAAGTAGATAGGTATTTAGAATTTATTTTATTATAATGACTGAGGCACTGGTAGGCTTCCAAGCAGCTTTAAAATTGTAAAACATTGTGTTAAACTGAGAGAGAGAGGGAGTGGTGTTTCATTTTAATTGAGGAAAGACATGGATTTTGCTGTTTTTTAAATCAGAGAATTTGGAGGGGTTATCAGTGAATTTGGGATTTTTATTAAAAAAACCCAGGATCCCTGCTAAATACTATAAATCCCAAGTGAGTAGGAAGGAAGGGACACCCTGTTTTTACTTGACCAAATTTAAATTTCTTACCCTTCATTAGAGAATACACCCTTAATGGATAGATTGTTCCTACTTCATTTTCCCCATATGAAAGGGTTTAGATGTGATTTGGTTAATAAATGAGGCAAGCTATTTAGAAATCTGGCTGATATATGGGGATATGAGGTGTTTAGCATCTAATTATAATTGAAAATTCACTTTAATAAAATCAACCTTTTTTTTTTGTAACTCCCCAATGCAATGTAAGCTCAGATTTAAAAAAATTGCTTTCATTGAAAAAAAAAGAAAATAAAGAAAGAAAGGAAAAAGGTCAAGTGGTGTTATGCACAACAAACTGTAGGTGCATAGCTTGTGATTAGGTCACTGCTATTGGTCCCAGTGTTTAAAATTCTGTAATAACTTACAGAATACTGCTAATTTGATGCTAAAAGATGTAAGACCTGAGAACATACTTTAGACAGAAGGACCAGAAAAACCATAACAGCTCAGAATGTTTTTGACACTATTTGAAATTTCTGGGTTGGTCTCATGAATCATACACTGCACTGTTTGCACACCTAAAAATGCTAATATTACATGATGTCAGTAAAACTATCTTGTGGCACCCTTGTTAAAAATCACTACATTAGTTGAAATAAAACATATATAGAAAGACTAGACAACTTGAGCCTCTAAACTGAAATTTCTACAGGTCTTTTTAAATTCCTGTAATAACTCTGAAATGCTGTTTGTCATAATGATATACATTCACTACTTTGAGCCATGTCCGCTTATTGCACAAACACCTCCAAGAGATACCTGGTCTCTAGTAAACTCCCTAATTGCCTAACGGATTAGTTGGATTTAACTGTAAATTAGTCTAAGCTAATTAGAGAGACTAGCTCAAGTTTACTTTGACAACAGTATATACTCACCAGCATTTTCAGGTAAAAGCATGGTGATTATACAGGCAAACCCTGCAAATATCAGAAAAGAGGTCATAGTTTTACGTCTTCCAGACCTAAAAGAAAAATGGGCAGATGGTTAGATAAAACTATAAATTCTTCAACACAGGCAGTTTTCCTTTTTGTATTTGTCTATAAAGGGCCAAACACAATATAGGATGGCAGCACTAACAGTTATATACTGTATGACTTTTCAGACAGTGGCTTCAATTAGTTACTTTATTGAGTAGCAATATGTTAGTCTTCCCAGAAGACATTTCTAGCAAAAGCTGTAAAAAAAAGTGAAGCAAATTTGTTGTTAATATAACAACACCTGCGGCAATGATTCAAGAGTCTTACAAGCAGCAGCTTTATTCACTGCACAGCCTTGATTTGCTCCCTGAGAAAAATCTACCTGGTGCGCTGAAAGAGGCAGGGGCTCTCTCTTTGACCAAGTAATAAAAAGACAGTATCACAAGGCATATCAAGAAGGCTGGACAGGAAAACTGAATTCTGTCTTTTTTAACCTTTGCGTATCTGACTTTGCAATCTTAATATTCTTGTATTGTTGCTTATGATATAAAACATAAAGCAACACTACTATATATGCAATTTTTCTTTACTTGATAATAAGAGTATGTATGGCTTCATATTTGTTGTCCTTCCCTTCATAAAAGGGAAGCAAGTCTGACAATCACAAATCAGCTCCAGATCTGCAATATGTACAAAACTGATAATTATTTAGAAAGAATTATAAATATATAAATACATAAATAAATCTTATTTTCAATAATAATTGATGGTTCAGTTAAAAAAAAAAAAAAAAGAAACTGCTGGATTTCTGTATATCTACTACTTAAGTTTCATGCAGTAAAATCTTAAATATTTGTAAGAGCTAGTACAGATGTTCAGTTTCTCCAGGCAGTCCCTGTCCTCTCAGGAGAAACCACAAGTGTATGAATTTTGTTATTTTTCTCCTAGAGTACAAGTGGACACTCTGTGAGAAAAATAACAACCCAAGTGAAGTGGCTTCCCACAGAATCTCTCTCGGGAGACAGAACTTCTGTACAGACAGCACATGAAGAGATGACCTCCACAATCCCAGTGTACTTTGCTTCCATCTCTCCCCTCTCCGAAAGGAGGAGAGAGAGTGTATGTCAGTCTCAGCCAAGAAGTTACCAGAACACCCGCACTGAGTGCTCTGGGCTGGAAAAGCCCAGCACTGAAGCACTTAGAGGGCATGTTCTGCTCCGGGCTTGTTTCCTGCCTGAAATACTCCCTGCCAAGCCTCACCTACATTCATTTAAAAATAAAAGGCTGCAATGCTTTCTGGGCTACCTGCTCTAGGGACCCCTGGCAGCCCAGCATCCAGACTGCAGGCTCTTTGCTTCTCTGTCTGAACTTCTGTACAAACCTGGAGAGCTCTCTTAGATGATATGAATGTGAGCATGCAGCCTAAGTATCCTCTCTTACCTGTGTCACAATTCTAGTTTTTTATTATCAAAACACAATATTTGTCTTTGAAAACATGTTTAATTAACCCTTTGCAACAAAAATGTTAGATTTTCTTAATATATTGATTGTATTTTAAAGCTGATAACAGAAGCTCTGAGCTAACTATCTTGTTAGTATTAATATCTATTAAACTGGTACAACTACTTACATCTATATTTTGAGTTAAATCATTATGTCTTCACAACAGCAGGCAAAAAAAGTTGTTAAAACACTGGAATATATCTTTTGAACAGATTACACTAATGTGTGTCTTGCAGTTTAAACATAGGTGCTTGATATTATTTTTAACTTGGAAAAATCTAACTGAGCTTATAAAGCTACCAAGAAAATTTAAAAGATAAAACCCTAATCCTACTAAAATTAAAGAGCGTTTGCCACTGACTTCTAAGACCAGGATTTCACTTAGTTTCTCAACCTGAAGAGAGACTACAGTCCTGTATAACTCAGGACCTCCACATTGACTAGTTAGCCTTTAGAGCTAACAAATATTTTTGTGACTGTGGGACTACAAATACAGGTAGAAATCTGAAGAAGTATGAACTTCAGATATTTGAGACCTTAAATACTGAGGCCCTTTTTCTACAAACCTGGCTTGATTTCTTAAGTTTCATTAAAAATGAACATGATTCAGAGTTGTACTCTCTCTCATCTGGGTGCAAAAGTTTCTGGGCAAAACATACAGGAGGTGCATACTACTCAGCCATCCAAATGGTGTTAACTCAGATTTGTCAAAAAAATAGCATTGAGCCACACTAAGCATTGAAAAGTTCAGGAAATAAAGAATAGGAAAGTGAAGTGCAACTAAAGGAAAGAGAGTAAGAACAGTCCCCCTATGGGGGACTGCATTCCAAAAGAAGAAATTCAAAAGTGCAAGGCCATATATTACTATAAAATATAACACAAGCTTTTCCATATATAATATCATGCTAACCTTACAGTATAGTCAGAAAACTAGAAAGTTAGTATTCTTACCAGGGTTTCTCAATAAAGAACATACAGAGTGGAAATGCTGGAACTTCTACAAGGCCATACAGAGCTACATTTAGGTACAGATTTCCTCCTAATTCACCAGCATTCAATGTTAAGCCATAGTACACAAGACTGCAGACATACCTGAAAATATCCATAAAAACTGGCTTGGTTATGATCATCATCATCAAAAACTAACATCAGAAAAGTTAAATGTTAATGATATAATATTGAGAGCTGCCAATACAAAATACTATTCTCCAAGTAAAAGAGATAAAAACAACAGAAGTCTTATTGAAATACACAAAGGAACCATATCTTACCAAAGAATGTACATATGCAGAAAAATCTTTACGATTTTATATTTCTTAAGTATTTTTAAAAAGAAACACTTTAAAAATATTAATATCTGTTATTGTCATAGAAAAATCTATAGTATAAAACCCTGTATAACAGAAAAAAATATGTTGTTTTTGTGGACACCAAATATAATACACTGCATATCAGTCCTTCCAAGAAAGCAATCTATCCACCCTGGCACATATAGAGCCAAGTTTGCTGTATATCAGGTAAATTTAACCAGAAAACCAAATATCGAATGGTATGTAAACAAAATATCCAATGGTATGTTAAAAAATAAAATTCAGGCCAAAGCTGCTAAGGCTGAGGGTTCACTCTCATCATAGATCCTGGTTTTCTCTGTTTAAAAAAATCACAAAATTTCTGATAAAAATTCACACATTCTCTGATTTAAAAAGTCCCAAATCCATGTTTTGGATTACAGCAGCAGTGGCATGAATCCCAGCAGCAGTAGCAACAGCAGAGTTGTGCCCCCCATTGCTGCTGGGTGGGCAGGGGGCACCTCGCCATGGTGGCATAGCTGGCATGGGGCTCCCAGAGGCAGCATTAAGCCTCCCCATCTCACTCTGTCATGCCAGGTCCCACCCACTCGGCAACAGAGGTCTCAGGGGAAGTGCAGCAGGACAGGGATCTCCGAGCCTGCATCCACCTCTGCCCCAGGCATAAATCTGGGAGTCCATCCAGTGGCAGGGAGCTGGCCTCCTTGCTGCCCCTCAGGCATGCCGCCCATGGCTCCATCCTGCTCCCCCAGCCAGGCCTTCTAGTTCCAGCTCCATATACTGCCCCAGCTGGGCAGCACCTCCAGCCCCAGCCCTGCCCCACTGCCTCCCGCCCTCACCATGGGGGCCTCAATCTTTTCCACCTCAATCTTCCTCCCCTCTTCTCCCCTCCCCAGACTTACCTGGAGAGAGCTGCAGGTGCTGCTTTCCACACTGCCTGGCTTCCATGTGCATTTGCATGTGCACATATGCACATGACGCTCCCTCCCTGATCCTTCTCCTCCTGCTGCTCCCAGCCCCAAGCAGCCCCTTGCAGGCTGGAACTTTGCCAGCCTCCAAAGGGAAACCCACCATTTCCCGCATTTTTCTCCTTAAAAGGGTGAAACCCACATTTTCTGTGGCAAACAGAAAACCCAGATCCCTGGTCCTCATTAATCACTGATAACAACAGAAACTAGATCTTATATATCAACATACAAAGCTTAAAACAATTACCTGCCTATTTGCAGAATCTCAAAAACAGAGAGAAAAGATAAAACAGAACATTGCCTTGGACTGGCCAAAAGAGTCAACCAGAGCTGATTTTGCTGATTACCTAATACATTTCCTTTAAATGCATTTCATCTGTAGCAGTCCCCTCTACTATCAGTTTCCTGTGGAAGAGTACCTCAGACTTGTTGGTATATGGATAACAAGCTGCTGTACCATAAATTCTATTTGACTAGCAATACACTTCTTCCAACACCTGGGGAAATGTACTCGTACTGTTAAGGTAGCTATGTCCTTAGTTATCATACTATTTGTGTAGTTCTGTGAATTGTTGCCATTGCATGATCCTGTGGGTTGTTGCTCATAATTACATTTCTGTAATTATGAGCAGGGTCTTTAATTTATTTTCATAAGAAAGAAATTAGATTGTATAATTAGATTGAGACTTCTGTCATCCAGAAGTATATGGGGGTAAGAAAAAGGAGCAGGAAGGAACAGAACTGAATACATTTTTCTTTTCTTGTGGCAATGGGGGAAAACACTTTTTTTCAAAGTACAATTTGCAAGTTTTCCATAAACAACTAACTTTTAAAAATAGCCCTTGTTAAAGCCTTCAGTAAAGCAAGACCATGCTAAGACTTTCTATCTTGCTAAAAGGACAGATGGGAAGGTCTTTGAGATATTAAGACCAAACCTTGTTACCAGATTTGCCCATCACTTTGGGGTGTGCTCATTTATTAGGGGTATGTTTCTGGGGGTCTCTTTAATTCTACCAATGTGCTGCTTGTGTTACTTGCGTTTCTATATGGAGCTGTATCTCTCCCTTCTGCGAGTCCTCACCTCCAATGGAGCTATCTTGCAGGACTCAGTTTCAATGGGGCTGGATTCCTCCAGCCACCAAATCAGTCAAACACATGTACGCACAGACACACACAGATCAACAGGATATGCCTGAGCCAGGCCAGGTTATTTAGCATTGACAGGCTAACACCCTCATATGCCTTGAACCCAGTTCATCAGGGCAACAATAAAATGAAGTCACACACAAGCACACAGGTTAATAGAGCACATCTGAGTCAGGCTCAGCATTGATAGGCGGACACCCTCATGTGCCTTGAACTCAGTTCATTTAGGACAATAATAAATGCAGTTAGACACACATACACATATGCTAACAAAGTACGTCTGAGAAAAACCAATAGAGGAGTCATTACTAGAATTGGTCTGATAAATGCTGAGCTGGGTGTGTGTAGATGTGGGTTGATTAGCATTTGGAGCAAGGATTCCCCATCATGAAGTGCTCCCCTGCTTTTCTGATCCCAGAATTCAGTGTGGTCCTTGCCTTGGAATCTCTGTTCTCCATCCTAAATGTTAATGAAGGAGCATGCCTGTTCCATCTCCCATTTAAATGAGTTGTCATCTTGTTCCATCTGGAATGCATATGAGAACCGGGAGTTGCTTCACTCTTATCACCCTTGTCTGGAGGGCTTTAGGTGGGTCTCCCACTGTATCATCTTTGTCTTTTGTAAGTCCTTCCTCTAATCAGTTCTTGTTCAGGCAGAGGCAGGGAGGGGGAGAGTTCTTTGTGAATCAGACAGGCTGCATACTGTGCCAAGGCTCCCCAAGAACACGGAGCTGAGAGGTAACAACCTAAATATCATATAACCTAACCTCAGATTACTAACATCACTGCTCCTTGTCGTTTTATGTTATTCAGGAAAAAGGGAGAGAATTCACACTGTAAGGTATTTTGCCATAGCAGAAGGTACACATAAGATGAAAGTGGATTCTCAGGGAAAAAAGTTGCACCTTTCAGAAACACATTAACTAAGGAAATGTGCCCTGCCTGAAATCTTCAGAGAAACACATTAGGGAAAAGTGGCTCTTGTAGCACAAACAGTTTGTACTGTAAGTTGTCCTAACTGATACAGAGAAGAGTTGATATGGATAGCCTTAAGTATAGCCCCCAACACATATTACATTTAAGATACTAACAGGTTAATTGCACCTGAAATAGTAACCCAGCAATATGTACAACTCAATTAAAGGCATGATAAAACAGTCAGTGGCATATCATACCATAGCATTTGTATAATGCCATAAATTCAACATGTGGCTAGAACCTGTCAAAATCATGTGTGCCACCCAGCTGTTAGTACATGGGGTTTACAGGCAAGCCCTGCTTCATGCCATTTCGCTTACCACAGTTTCACTATAGCGCTCATTTAAAATACCTACCTGGTTTCACTTAGCACTCAGCACATTTCATTATACGCTCAGCGTGGGGGGTGGGGAGAAGCAGTGGCGGCAGCAAAACCGTAGCATCAAGTGAAGCAGTGAGTGGCAGCCAGCAGAGCCCAGGGTGGGGTGGTAGGCACCCGGGGTCTGCTCCAACACATGGTTCTGGAGCGATGGTGGCGGCAGCAAGAAGGAGCAGGCAGGGGGCTTGAGCCCAGGGCCAGGGCCAGAGCCCAGGGCCAGGGCCAGGGCCGGCAGGGCGGCAGGAGTGCAGAGCCTGAGGCCAGGGCCGGCAGGAGTGCAGGGTCTGGGCCAGTGCGAGCCAGCGCTCAAGGACATGTGTGCAGTGTCCACCACCCCAGGCCATAGCAGGGCTGAGCCCATGAAGCCTCCCCCCACCCCCCGCCCTGGGCTGCAGCCCATGACCCATTCTGCTCCAGTCATGCACACATCCATGGGGTGTGGACACCATCCCAAGCTTCCTCCGCACTGGCCACAGCCCCACTGCTTTCCTGTCATAAATCCCTGGGCAGGCAGGTCCCCAACTCAGGCCCCATGCTGGTGGCCAGCGGGTGTGGGCTGGCAGGGGCCATCACAGTGGCAGAACAATGAGGCTGGGGGAAGCCAGTGCCTTCCCTGACAGAGCCTGCTCAGTACCTTGCCAGGAGCAGCAGAGCCAAGGCCGGCAGAAGCGCAAGGCCCAGCCCGGCACGTGGTGTGGAACCAATTATACTTATTTACATTAAACTCAGTGGGAAAATGGGTTTCACTCAACGCTGTTTTGCTTAGTGCTCAGTTTTTCCGGAACTAAATAAGAGTGCTAAGCGAGGGTTGTCTGGGATTGAGGATTAGCTACCATCACACCTTAGGCCCCTAGCAAGCCTTCACTTTAAGATAGAGATAGAAAGACATACACTTCACAGCCGCTCAAATAGTATGATAACTAAGGATATATTTACTGTAATATAACACTGTACCATTATGCCACTATTTAACTTCTACTTTCAGTCACAAAAGTAATCCTTTCTGGGGTACAAGTTACACAACAAGCACCAGCTCTTCTAAACCCTTGCAGGAATCACAAGGGAACCTTTTGGGGTGGGGGAGAAGGGGAAGCATTCCCTAAAAGTCACAACAGACCCAGAGTTGCTAGTCAATGTATTTGTTTGAAAACCACTCAGGGACACCACAGGCACTACAGCTACCTTCATCTGCATAGAGGTAGCTTTGTGGTACCAGTGTCAGGAAAGTGGGTCATTATGTTAAATTCACAAGAGATTGACAACATCAGCAGAAAACCAGAGGACAGCACAGAATATTGCCTGGGAATCCTTCTCAAGCTGTATATACTTTTTCCCTCCAGGGCTTAAGTATTAAATAAGGCTGCTATAGGAACAAGAAGATCTTCTATTTGGTAAGATTCCATAGTCTCTCCTACAATTACCTTTCTCATCCCTGATAATCTAGATATGAAACAACTGATTTTTCTAATTCTTTCCTAGAAGTAATCTCAAATCTAATGCTCAGCTTTACTAGGGACACACCCTCTGCCAGTCTTTGCCTTAAACAGGTCAGATAATGACATGAGGTCTATACTGGGGTTATTCCTGGGATGTGTTCTTGCTGTTCCAATCAGAACTTATATTTTCAGAAGAGTTACTCCTTTCGCCATTTGGACTGCTTTAAACTATACTAGACCCAACCAAGGAGACAAAGTCTAGAGCACCTCCCATGGCAAAGATAAGTGCAGTAAGTGCAGATATCACTGCAAAGATAAGTGGGTTTCTTTCGTTTTGCAGTTTTTGCACTTTGTATTCTAACATGTGAAAACTAACGATCAAATGGTAAGCTCATATTTTTCTCTATTGCTCCCCCACAACTCCACTTTTAACTCTCAGTAGTCTCCTTTTTACACCTATATTATAATACAATTTAATATGACAGGTGTGCATGCAACCAATATCAAGTGGAAACAATTTTATGGATTTATGGGTTGGCTTTTCTTTTTTGTTGTTGTTGTTTTCCACTACTTTCTAGTTCATTTTTTGGACCAGTATCTAAGTAACACAAAATTATAAAAAGATTATTACAATTAGCATGAAGTAACACACAATACCATTTTTAAAAAACAGCACCTGGAATTAACAGTCAAACATATAACTGAGCTTTGAGAATGTTATTTAAAAATGAAGGAAGAAGCTAAACACCTTAATCAGTGTCTTATATTTGACAAACCCACAGTGCTTCAGCATTAGCTTGCTTTTTACTACTTACCAGATATACATCAAAATGACAGTTCGCCACCGAAGGACTGGGTGTTTTACTAGGCTTAGGACACTGGGTGCTGATTCATCTGTTTTCATTGTACCTGCACATGGTTTTAATTTTATAGTTAACCTTTCTTTTCCATTACCCAGGGCTATGTATTGTAGTACACGCTCCGCTTCTATAGTGTTCCCCTGGGAATACAGCCATCTAGGTGATTCTGGAAGCAAACTGCCAGACAAAAATTAGATAAAGAAAGTACATTTCTATCAATGACAGACTAGATCAACCTTATTTCTCAGCAAGTCAAAGCATCACATTAGGAGGTAAACATGTATTAAATATACACATCCGATATTTAATTTAAGGAATGGCAAAAACTGAAATGTGAGATTCCAATTTCCTTTTCAGGAATTGCACTCATATGCATTTTAAAGCTATATTTAAACAAGAACAGAATTTGGTTCTTAAAATTCAAGAAGATTTTGAGGGGTATATGTTGTAGCTGTGTTGGTCTAAGGACATCGGCAGACAATGTTCTTTGTTCAAACGTGTGAGCTCTCTCTCTGGAGGAGTGTCCTCGTTGAGTGAAAGCCTTTTTAAGATTGGTGAGGTGGCAATCCCAGGTGTTCTCCTCAGTGCAAATATGGTGGTATCTGAGCACCTGGCTGTATATACAAGCTGTAATATACAGCCAAGCCCTCAGATACCACCGAATTTACACGGAGAATATCCACACATTTGAAAGAGCCACCCAGATACCACATGAAGAATTGCTGCAGAACAGAAGAAAAAAACCAACGAATCACACACTGCTGGTTATGACATATCACCCTTTCCTCAAACCCATACGGAAAATCCTCAAACAATTGCAACTCATACTAGAAAGAGACACTATTCTTAAAGAGATCTTCCCAGAACTACCCATCCTAGCCTTCAAACAAGCACCGAACCTCACTAACCTCATTACCAGAAGCAAACTTCCTCATGCCCAGAACACACCGAATGGATCCAGACCGTGCCATGACAAGAAATGCAAAACCTGCCAACATTTCTCCACCACCCTCACAATTACTACACCCCACAACAGAGTCATCAGCATCCCTGCATTTTATAGCTGCACCTCCAGAAATGTAATATATCTCATCCAATGCACCAAATGCCCTGATGGAAAATACATAGGAGAGACCAAACAACAACTGTGCACCAGAATGAATGCACACCGGAAATCTATCAAAGACAAGAATACCCAATTACCTGTGGGAGCACATTTCTCACAAGAAAACCACTTTCTCTCCAATCTCTCAGTTATAATCCTCAAAGGGAACTTACAAAACACTTCTCAGAGATTAGCCTATGAACTTCACTTCATCAACCTCCTGGATACAAAAAAATCATGGACTAATATAGACATTGGATTTATGGCACATTATAACCTGCCTGACATATGACTCCCCAGGTATCTCTCCACTATTTAACTGCTACATTCATCCCTCTTTTCTGTCCCCCTGGACCATGCCGGTCTCTCACCCACTGACTCCTCAATTTACATCTTCACTAACTGCCTGAATTGCATGCATGCCAGCCCAGCCTCTGGCTTCTTTACTATTCATTGCATCCAGGAAGAGCACACACCAACTGCAGACACGTCCTCAGCCTGACAAAGGCTTTTTAAACCCAAAACTTTGTTAAAAAAAATTTTCCAATTATTTATGTTGGTCTAATAAAAGATATCAGATTCACCCAAAGAACCTTGCCTGCAAGAAGATTTTGACAACTTCCACCTCAACCCAATTTTTATAATATTCACATCTGAGGGAAAAAAAATCATCTTGGAATTACCTATAACTGTACTTTGTAATTAGTCTTACAGAAAAAAATTGAAACTTTGTTCCACAGCAACATCAAAATATTCAAAAATTTAAATTCCTAAATAGTCAAAATTAGCATGAATAATAATATTGAGGTGTTAAACTATATCTACAATTTAAAAAAAAGAAAGCAGAAAATCATACTTTGTTGTATATTAATATAACCACATGTGAACCATTTTTGTTAACCTACTAAACAAAACACTACTTCTAACAAGACTTTGAAAATCAGAGAATAACTAAAGCCAATAAAACGAATCTAAACTATTTTTTCAGAATTAATAAGGGTCTATAAAAATACATTTTTTATACATACAAATTGTATCTCTTTGTCATGTGACACATGACACTGGTCATTTTTATTTAGTAGCTCTGCCACTGCCGATTCATTTAAAGTCAATTTTATACAAAATTGGTACCAAATTCTCTAATTTAAATTTGGCGAACAAGGAAATAATCTCTGCATTATTATTACATGCATTTCAAAAACAAGCAAATCAAAGTCAAAGCTGAACTGAGTTGGTCAATCTGACAAACACAGCACTATTATTAGACTTAAATTTGTGCCAACACTGTGATAATACAGAATGGTTACATGAATGGTTACATGTCATAACAGAATAATATCCAAAAATACCAAACAATAAATGGTAGTGTATTTTCAGTCATCTCATGTTGTAAATTTGGAGCTATAAAGTGCACGTGGGCCAAAACACCCAACCAATTTCTTTTTCCATTCTTTTTATAGTGAAAAGAAAAATGTTTCTATTATACTCCACTGTTGTAATTAGTTTTGCCTTGTGCACTTTTCATCATAAAAATCATTTTTCTGTCATTTTTACTCCAGCTTGTGTCCTACCTTTCAGACTGTATGTTTTAAAGAAAAGCTCTCAATAATATGTTAATCAAAATTAATTACCTTATTTTCTTCATCGGGAAAATAATTCTGATAAATAATTAATTTTTGGTTATTATGCAATAATACACTAACATTATTTTAAAATATTTGTTGAGGCCTTATTACTTGTTTTTCTCTTATTTCTAGAAGGTTGGTTTGCTTCTTTGTTTTTGGTAATTCTAAATTGTGAATGAAAGGTATCTCCGCTTATTTGCAAAATTTACTTACCACTCTCTACCTGGAAATATTTACTAGGCTTTTCCTTTTATTTCTAATAATGGAAAGTGGTGAGCCATCCCCATTTCATTGTTTGCCTAAAGTTTTTTTTACTGGATTAAAATGGGTATTGACTGGCATTTTAAATTTTTTCTTATGAAAGTAACACAAGTAGCTCTCCTTCCCACTGATTTCTCTCAGGATTTCTTTTTTCCAAGTTTGAGGTTTCGCTAGTGTATTTCCCAGAATACCATTCCAAAAGTAATTAGATAATTCAAAAGACAAAGGGTAGATAATTCAAAGAATGTTTTAGCTGAACTTTGTTTTGTTCTATTTATTATTTCACCACAAGTTGGAAATATGCTCTATCAAGGTTAAACTGCATATTTCAAAGTCCCTCCAGTACTCTTTAATTAATGTGAGACAAAGTCTATTAATTATGTGGTACACAGATCTCTTGAGAGTAACATTTTTGCTTTTAGAGGGTGCCTGTACACACCACAGGTTTTAATCCTCATTAAATTAAATAGGCTTATAAAATTAAACTTGTTTATTTTAGAGTGTCGCATCTGTGTTTGAGCACACTAGGTCTTGGAACGAATTAAGCTTTGGAGTGTCACATCTGTGTTCACACACATGAGGTTTTCAAACGAATTAAGCTCAGACCCTGGCTGGTGCTGCAGGAGAGTGGGACAGTTCCATGCTGCCCCCCTCAGAGAAGGGCCTCCCACCGCCCCCATGCCTGTGCCCTGCTACGCAGCTGAGGAAGCAGGGCACCAGCAAACCACACAAGAAAAAAAAAAGCAGAATCAATTAGAAAGCGAAAGCAATTTGAAGGGGTAAACTACAAAATGTAGCAGCGGAAGAACCATCTGGTGGACCAAGAACCATCTGGTGGACAAAGAGGCTCATTATATGTCTTTGAATGCCTTTGTGTTTGCATGCAACAAATCCGTGGATGCGATTCCCGGTGAGCCAAACTAAAGTACATCTGAGGAGTTTTAGTTTAATGTGCCAGAAAGACTTTTAAAGCATCCAGAAAACCCACTCATGAAAACAGTCTCACTGTTGCAGCCGAAGAAAGGGCAAAAAATGTGGCGTGTACAAAAGCCCCTTAATATATACTCTGGGGAAATAGGTGATACTTGGTTATTGATTTTTTTTGTACATTATTTTTGGATGGCAACTAATTCCAAAAGCTGATCTATGCAGAAATAACGGATGTTTAAACAGTATGTTAGAGATTGCTTTTGTAGTATTATAAATAGATAGTACTTGTAGTTTTACATCTATAGTTTTAATTACTGATAACTGAGGATCCTAGTTTTCTCCGATTAAAAAAAATTCCCAATTTTCAGATTAAAAAAAATAACCGAAAACCCACATTATTCCATGATCAGAATGAAACACTACTAATATACACACACATATATACACACACACACACACACACGCACGCACACACGTGGTGTTTCATTTCAATTGGCTTACTTTTTTAATCTGAAAATTGGGGGTTTTTTTTTTAAACAGGGAAAACCAGGATCCCTGCTACATAGTGCATGTTGCTTCTTCTCAGATCTGAAGTACACTGTGACTAGGCAGTCTATGCTACAAACTTTTTTACATATTCATATATCCAAGAACTATTCTCATAACAATATGTATTACGGGACTCCACCTATTATCACATTTCTACAAAGTTTAAATAGCAAATATATGTCATACCTCATCGCCAGACTTTGGGTCACTCCAAACAAAGCAAGCAATCACAAGCAGTGCCAAGCTAGAAAGAGCACCCACAAGTGGATGGACTTTGAAATGCTTTGTAATTTCATTTATTTCCCACCAAGACATCACTACAGACATTTGGCTTATGAAAAGTAACCTTAAAATTCTGCCTGACACTTTAATGGTACTTCCACAGTCTGCCACGTTAAGAAAACCTTTGATGACATAGAGCCAATATTTTGGACTAGTTCTATAGCGTGTGCCTTCTAGCAGCCCTCATGCTTCTCTGCAGACTTGTCACTGCCTTTTATGTGCAAACACTGCTCTTTTGATCACTGGCCATCTCAACTGTCACATCAAGCTGAGAAGTTCCAGATTCTCCTCTAGCACTACAGTAGGGCTGTGTGAAACATCCTCACTTCTCCATGCCCAATCAGGAGACTGAATCTCTGAATTCAAATCGAATCAGGAGACCAAATAAAAGCTCCAAATCAATTCGAAGCATCCAAATCAATTCAGAAAAAGATTCAGAAAAGACATGGCCGATTCAGAGATTCGGGTTGGGGGAGGGGGAAAGAGGTAGACAGGGCATGGGGGAGTGAGGAACTGGGATTGTGGCTGGGACAAGCTGCCCTGGAAGGTTGGGGGGTTCATTGCTCGGGAAGAGGTGCGGGGGGTGCAGGATGCAAGTGAGGCAGCGCTGGGAGCAGGGGCTCTGCCCTGCTGCTGCTTGCCCTGCTGGGGCGAGGGGGGTGGGATGAGGGCGCGGCTCGCTCCAAGCGGAAGGCGGCAAGTGGCAGCAGGGCAGAGCCCCTGCTCCCAGAGCTGCCACATCCACATCCCACTCCTTCCTGTGCCAGCTGGCAAGCAGCAGAGCAGAGCCTCCACTCCCAGTGCTGATGCATGCACAGCAGCACTGGGAGTGGGGGCCATGCACTGCTGCTGCTCAGAGCAAGCCATCACACCCTTCCCCCCCTGCTGACTGGGCAAGTGGCAGCAGGGCTTAGCCCCCATGGTTCCCACCACCAGGGCAGAGGCGGGCACAGCCAGGGGAGCCATGGGAGAAGTCCCCATGGCTGCCCTGCCTGGTCCAGCTTCCCAGCACTTCAAAAAAAATAAAAAATAAAAAAGCCCTACACTCACCAGCTGCTGGAGTGGCAATTGGACGCCCGTGGGAACTTGTGACAGAGCCTCCCCTCACAGTGTGGGGCAGTGGGGGGCAACGCAGATTGCCCTCCCTGCCTGGCACCTGCATGGTAGCTGCTGCATCGTGTGGGTGCAGCGTGGCTCGGCAAGGTGCCATATGCTTTCTGGGAGCTAGGGGGGCTCTAGCAGTCAGCTGGAGCCCAGCAGCACTCAGCCCCAGTGGCACCCTGCTGAGCCATGCTGCACCCATGCTATGGGGCTGCTGCCGCATGGGTGGCAAGCAGGGGGGACAATTCCCACTGCCCCCCACTGCTTGTGCTGCATGGTGGGGGCTCTGCTACAAGTGCCCAAAGGCCCCAATTGCTGCTCCTGCAGCCAGTGAGTACGGGGCTTTTTTTTTTTTTTATGTGAAGTGCTGGGGCTAGGCTGGGGCTGAGCAAGGCACCCATGGGGGTTTCTCCCATGGCTCCCCCTGCCTGGGGAAAGGCAGGCACAGCTGGGGGAGCTGTGGGAGAACGTGCAGGCACCCAGCTGTGCCTGCCTCTCCCCAGCTGATCTGAATCACCGAATGTCTCTAAATTAGTGCCAAATCTTCTGAAGCTGATTCAGCCAAATCTATTCAGGACAGTGATCTGAATCTCCAAATCGACTCACTGTCCTCCAAATCGGCCAAGATCGAATCAAATACTTCCCTATTTGCGGAGGTCTACTCTACACCCCCCTACGATGCTCTTTTCCCTTTCTTCCTCCACTTTTACCCCAAACTACTGATTGATACCTGGCTCACTTACAGACAGTTCAAAAGAGGTTAGCAGACTGTTGTGCATCACTACTAATTAAATGGGGACATTATGAACATGACTAAGCAAAGATTTTGTTTTCTAGCTGCTCAGGAATCTGTATCAACAGTGCCAATATTTCTACCCAAGAGGTAAGGACAGAAAAAAAAATTTCTTTTGGCATCTTCTTTAAACAGTGGGTAAACTCTAAAGGCATTTTTTTTATTATTGAAAATATCAGCCAAAATCTTTTTCATTACCACATATATGCATTATTCTTCAAGGAAGACAAGCATAAAAACATGAAAGTTAGCCTTACTTCAATTACAGTCTTTCAGTGAAAAGCAAGACTTCTTGTTAAAGTACTGTATATTGTGTTTTCATAGCCATAATAAGTTTGATCTACTTACAGAGAAAGGAGAAAAAAGACAATTCCTGGACAATTTGATACAAATGCAAGGTAACGCCATTGCCTTATGTAGTAACCCAGTAAGGCATAAACTGCTATGCCAACTGCAAAGGTCAAATTTGTTAATGAACCTGTAAATAAAGGTAAGAAAAAGCTGCTATTTAAAACAATGTCAAAACCCATGTATAGATTCTTCAAGTTCTAAGCAGTTTCTAGGTATGCACTCTACAGCAAAAAGGACTTTATAACATCTTCAGAATGGCTAGCACAATGTAATGAGTTTGTTGAAATAAAGTCATCTGATTCTGACCCAGATATGCTTTTATAGAATTTTCATTCTTTTTAAATCATGGATTTTTGAAGGAAGCAAGAAAAGGAAGGAATGCTAGATAGAAGTTGGGGGCATAGACAGTAAATACTTGAGGTTATTTATTTAGGTGCATTTAGATAACATGGAGTGGCAGTACTGTGGTAAAGTAGACAAAATTTAAGTGAGATATAAAATGCTAAGGATAGTACTGGGTATAAAAACAGCTAGAACCAAACAGTACCTATTAAAATTTACCAAGCCTTCCTGGAGAATAAATATCGATAAAAAACATTGGAGAAATACATTCCATGTTTCAAGGGTGTAGGTTGTAGCCATGTTGGTCTAACGATATAGGCTAAACAAGGTTATTTGGGTAAATCCAATATCTTTTATTTGGGTTGGTCTAATAAAAGATATTGGTTTTACCCAAAGAACCTTGTCTGTCTTGGAGAAACATATGGAGTCAATACCAAACACAAAAGCCTAGCAGCAAACTCTTTGTGTGAGATCTAGTACTAAACTATAAGTTGGCAGAGTAAGGTCCATTGAATCTTGACCACAGCTGACAGAAGCACTTTAGTCCTGCTGTTAAAGGCAGTGCTCAGTATCTCCCTCTCCAATCCACCCATTGACCAGTTGCTCCATAGTCCCCTCCTGAAGTACTAAAAACACAAAGCACCTGAAATGACAAGCAGCAGGGAGTAGATTATCTCTTCAGCCCATCAGGGGCCATCCCTGCAGAAGAAAAGACGGGAAAGAGCCAAGAAAGGCATACAAAAGGGGCAAGCAGAAGGGAGAGGGAGAGAGAGAGAGAAAGACATAAAAAGAACATGAGCTGGAAAAGAAGAGAAATGGAGAGGAATATTAAGGAAGTTAGAAAAATACCAGTTGCTGAAAAGACAGAAAAAACCCCCCAAAACAAAACAATCTCTTTCCCTATTCCTAGAGGGTAAGGCAATGATAAAAGAAAAAATAAGAAAAAAAATAGAATGGGAAACCTGAAGAAGTGAGATATTGCGTTTTCAGGACAGTGATCTGAATCTCCGAATCGACTCGCTGTCCTCCAAATTGGCGAATCCGAATCAAATACTTCCCTACTTGGAGAGGCCTACTGTACAGGCCCCTATGATGCTTTTTTCCCTTTCTTGGGAAATACAAAAAGTAAATATGCTTATAACCACTGCAGTTAAGCATGTTGGGCCAAATTCTGTTCTCAGTTTACTCTAATGTAAATCCATAGTAGTTAGACATACTACAGATTTGCAGCAGTGTGATGAAGCAAAGAAAATGCACTTCTACCTCTTCTACCTGTATTTTAAAATTTGGCACTGTCAGATGCAGACATTTGATATCGATACTGCACTTGGGAGTGGAGGGGAAGCATTACATACATGCTAACTCATTTTATGAGACAGAAGAACATATTTCTTTAAATACATTTTTGGTGGGGAAGAGAAAAGAGTACTTGATCTTCTAAATATTTTCTCAAGGCACTATAAAGTGTAATTTAGAAGCTGGGAGAGTCCATAAAAACATCTTTTTCATGGAAAGTAGACCACAAATGAAGAAATTGTATGAAACAGTGATTCTAAATTAAGGTGCTGCAGAACTCTAGGGTACTGTGAGATGCATTTTAAGAGTACTATAGTGTCACACGATATAGCACTGTTAGATGTGGGGCTGAAATCCTAAGGTCAAAAACATCCCAATTTGTTGTGGTCTTTCCAAGTTTTTTGGGGACAGAAGAATAGCTATTTTATTTTTCTGTAGTAAAGAAATGAGTGAAAGCTAAGAGCTGGCATTTTTCAGTGGGTGCCTGGAATCTAGAAGAGCTGAGAACCGCTTAACTATGCTAAATCTTGAAATCTCATGGTTTTACCATTGTTTATCATACTGGACCCAATTGTACGGTTCCTATTCAAGCAAAATTCCCACTTAACTCAGTGGTAGCTTGGAATGAAAAAAATTGGTCATTTAATATTTACTTAAATTAACTTTATAAAGTTACAATTCATAATACATTTGTGAGTTTTTAAAAAAAAACAAATACTTCATACAGTACTAATAAAATATTCTTAAATTTTACCTGTAAAAGACCAGAATGACTTTCCTACATATTCTTGTGTCAAGACAAAAGACACCAGAGACATTCCACCATTTGTAATCCCAACAATAAAGCGTGACATTGCAAAAATTTCATAGCTTGGAGCAAATGCCGCAACATACCCAAAAATTACATCAAAGAACAGACCTGAACAAAATACACAAAGTATATTAGCCTTATCAAGTAGACAGAATTTGGGAATTAAATTATCTACCATTACTAGCATTGTAAAGATAGTATTTCTCTGAATTTACACATTTGATTTTACTAACACCTTTAAAAATGAGAATTCCAAGGAACTCCAAATACTTTCTAATCTCTATTAGTTTATGTACAAGTCTCAAACCCAAGTTGTGTAATCACTAATATGGAGATCTATACAAGAAACCTTACCTTCAAACATTATCATTAAACTATAAACAATTCAACTGAAAAATAAATGGCCATGATATAAGCTATTCATTGCTCATCAAAATTAAGTTGAGACGAAATAACATTCCTAAAAACAGGAACTCTTTATATCCAGATGTTCTGACTTCAGATACAGTCTAAGTTAGTTTTTCCTGCCTGTGAAGAGTGAATAATCATCACTGTTTACACTGTCCTCCAGTGGAGGGGCTGGGAATTATTTTGGGCAGAGGGCCACTTACTGAATTTCAGCAAGCCATCAAGGGCTGAATGAGAGGCAGCCCAGGGCAGATTAATGCTAATTTCTAGATTTTTTAGGGGTCCCGTGGGCCAGACAGAACGGCCTGACAGGCCGCAACCGGCCCCAGGCTGCATTTTGCCCACCCCTGCTCTAGTCTAACTAGTCAAAAGCTCTTAAAGTGATTTGAGATCCCAAGAGATGCTGTTTTGCGTTTGTGAGAAATTAGCCTGCTCTGATGAAACATTTGGAATCCAATCAATGTGAATGATTATTATTCACACTTCATAGGTAGGAAAAACATGCAAAATGATTATGCAACTGTTGCCCAAGTAACATCAGTGAAGCCAAAAACAAACTCTAGTATTCTTGACTCCTGCATTTCAATTATTACACAATACATCATTAGCTACCTATAAAAAGTACTGCATTTCTACTAAAATTGTCCAGCAACCAGAAAGGACACGCTAGAAAATATGCGGCATGGCAGGCCACATCCCTATTCCCAGGTTATGGGAATAGGGATGATGTCATGTTTGTCCTTCTAAATACCATGAAATTACAGTGTTATTTTAAAATAAGAAAAACCATGCCAAAAAAGAAAAAAAAAAATTGTTGTATGGATGGAAAAGCATTTAACGTTACAAATATGAAATGTATGAGTCTCTCTACTGTGAATTCTAAAAAAAACTGAAACAAATTTCACATCTTTTGTTGGATACGAGATATGTTACAAACATATGTGCTAGTATAGTTCACCTGACCAACAGCACATCAATTAGACCAGGGCTGGGCAATTATTTCAGCTGGGACATCACTTTATGAGTTTTTATGAGCTGTGAAGGGCCACATGCATAAAATTGTTCTGAAGATATTTTAACAAATTATAGGAAAAAAGCCAAATATATACTATAAACCAAACATCTACTATAACATATTTTAATTTTATTTCAAAAGA